CCTCGAGCAGGAACAGCGCAGCAGCCACCACAGAAAAGACGCCAAGTCGCGCTTTTTACAAGGACAGAAAAGCAGTTTCTGAGGCCGTGGGGAGAAGGGCGCGGTTTGCAGGGAAGTTATCGGTGCAGGGAACAATACGCTGAGCTGACAAGTCCTATCTCTTGCCTTTCATCAGGAAACAGCAGCTAGTTTCCTTATTACCACTGCCCGGGCAACTCGTTTGCGCTTCTTGGGAAACCAGAAGAACAATTAAGCTGGGAGTAACTCCCTTGAAACACGGAAGATGCAGCACGCTTACTTATCCCTATCTGAACAGCTCGTCAAATGAGGTTTAAAGAAAGATGACCTTTGATTTAATGCTAATGTAGGCAATGCTCTTTGAATCATCCCATGAGTGAATAATAATAATTAAAAAAAAACCCCTCTAGCACAATAAGGGGCACCGTCAAAGGCAAAGTAAAACAAAGCTTGGCCCATTTAACAGGTTCACATCTGCACATTTGTTTTACCACAACTGAACATCGCTAGCAGTGAATAGCCTGAATGACTTCACAGCTCAACAGTCTCTTCGCTTCAAATTCAGCACAGAGCAGTAAGTCAAACCTTTTTTGACCAAAACACCATTTTGCTGAATTCCCGACGCAAGCCAAGAAGCCGGTCGCAGATTGCTGGCCTCCTCCCGTTTGCTTTTCCCTGGAAGGCGATACAGCCAGACATCCTTTGGACTTCTGATGACGGTTTCTGCATTTGAGCCCCTTGCCCTCTTGTGACAACTGACCCAGGTTGTTACAGCCTCTCCCATTCACGCCACTACCGAAACGGTGTTTTGCTGCCTTTTATGAAAGCCGAGCGGATGCATCGATAAGCAAGTGAAACGGATAAAGAAATGCATGCTGGCATTTCATGCCCTCAATTAGGCACTTGAATTAGGAAAGTCACAGCAGGCTCAAGGAGTTTTTCAGTATAATCCTTTTAAAAATAAGCTTGTAAGAGCGTATGCAAATATTTACCCTCGCTCTAGTTCTGAACGCACTAGCAGGGTGCTTCACAGGGAAGGCGATCGCTTCGCTCCCTGCTTCCTGAAGAGGTTCCAGCAACGAAACCCTCACCTGGGCCAGCCTGCGCTCCGCGAGGGGCCGCAGCCCCGCGGGAAGCCCTCCCTGGCTACTGCTCCCCCACTTTCGCACTCCACTCAGTGCTGCAATCTGGAGAAGGCTGGGCAAAGTACTTACTGTTTGTTCTTCTTCACCTCCTCCTCCTCCAAAAAAAACCAAACCCCACCCCAAACAAATTTACAGAAAAAACCCTAGAATTTTAAATCTCAGAGAAGCAATTTCAATTACCTTCTATATAATTACATTCAACCTTTTACCTGCTGATTACAAAGCCTTTTTTAACCATGTGTTTCAAAGATAACTGAATTACCTCCAAGGAACACACCCAATCACCACTCATTTTTACATCTGCAATCAATTTTGTTCACGAATATTTATATTTGTGCTTGATAATCAGGGAAACATCCACAGTATTTGTGCTTGCAATTAGCACTGCCTGCAGTGAGAGGGAGGCTGATTCTAACAAATTAAATAATGCAACCCAAAAGCACAGCAGGGAAGGACTTTCTGGAACAGCATTAAGCCATCTTCCAGCATTAATGACAAGTATCTTTTAGCATGAGCAGGCAGCCGGGTGATTTCAGAGGGAGCTGCTTTAACAAGCAACGCAGCGTGACATTGGGATGGAGGTAAGGAACTACAAGCAGAGACGGGGCGCAGGAGGTTTCCTGTTGGTTTTGATGGAGCTGAGGGAAGCGTGGAACTGGATGATTCGATCCGACACGGCCCGTGCCGGTCTCTTGGCTGGGCCTGGCACAGAGCAGCGTGACCTTTTGAGCTGTGCTTACATCGACACAATTCCTGCCCTGATGGGGTGCAGCGTGGCTGCCAGGGAGAGGGGCACGCCAGCGTGCCTGCAGCTCACACGGCCTTCAAAGGACAGCGCTGGGGAGGCACAATCCGCAGGCTGGGCAGTAAGCAAGTAGAGAATTAGGAGGGGACCAGCTGCAGTCCTGCCCGCCCGCAGCGCTGATGCGCTTCTCCGAATCATTAGGCTGGCACCTACGGCCGGCTTGCTGCTTTGCTCCCTATTTACAGGGCACTCGTGAAAGCAGGGATGTGGCCCTGCTCCACAGACAATGAGACTAAACCAATCTTTATCGCCTCAAAGTCATCTCTGATGTTTAACCAAACCCTAGTTGTTGCTATGAGGGCTGTTACTTCCGTGTGATTTTCAGTAATTCCAAGAAAAAAAAGCAAGATACTTTATTCAGTGTCTAAACCGCAAGAAGAATCAGCTAAAAATACAGCGATCCGTGCTAGGATCGTTTCTCTTGCAACAGAGCTCACTTTGGATTTCTCTCTAACACGCTTTAAACTAGATGATTGACTGCTTCCAATGTGTAACTGAAAATATGTCCAAGAAAAGGAAACTTTGGATTAAGGGAGCAAAATACACGTTTTCAAATGAAACGCAAAAGGCTCTGGGTCGTTCTTTGAAGCCCCCAAATGCAATTGCAGGTGTATCTTCTAGGTTGAAACTTACTGTAGAATGCTTGGGACAACAAGTTTCACAGCGTTAACAACTGAGCTCAATATAGAGAAATGGAAACAATCCAGCTGAAATAAACACCGGGAAACAGTTATTTGTTTGTTTATTTAAGCAAACATAAAAACTATCCATTTGCAAATCTCATTAGGTTTGCACGACTTTCATTTCTATTATTTGTTACCTTTTACCACGTCTTATTACCTCCCAGCGGCCGAGCAGGTAGAAGCAAGTAGAATGACCGTTCCCTTCTTTAAATAATGTCAGAAAGCTTCAAAACAGCAGCAGAGCTTATTGGAATGGACACATACAAACAAGAGTTGCAGAACAATAGATAGATATATTTCTCACTATAGGCATTGTAAACATAGATTGAAATAAAAGTGGGGGGAAGCTTTCAATTTGTCTAGTGATTTTTCAGTAGGCAGGAGGCATAATTGTGAGGAGCCTGCTAAAGCATTTGGAATGGTACCGTTTATTGGCTCAAGCTCTAGGAAGAGGGTTTTTTTTTTTACTTTTTTACTGTTACGCAGTCTCCTCATTTCAATCTGACAGCATACAGGGCCCTCGACATGGCATAAATTTCATTTACTCTCACAAAAGGCCTTAAGACACTACCAGAACTGTGTGAAGTAAAATACCTGTGTCCCTGAGGTGAATGGCAGATTTGAGGGGAAAAAAGCTGCCACTAAAACTGGGGTAAGGAGTGAACAGTTGTTTCCCTAATCCAAGTGTCCTGAGGAAAAAGGAAACAAACAGCTACGAACTGCTGACCTCATCTCTTACAACAGTGTAAAATTAAAGTTTTAGTAGACTGAAAAAAGTGAAGTATCAAATAGGGCTATGATTTTTCTGGACGTGTATTGCATTAGAACAAGTTCTTTGCTATGTTATTTTCAAAGACAATATTTAGGCCAAAAAGTGAAAAAAGCTGCCAGGGCCAAGATTTAAGAAATACTGTTCATCTTTTAAAAATCCACAGGGGCAAATGAATGGCCTTTGTGCTTTTAACTATCTTGTACTACCTCCCAGCACTCGGACTTCTAGATATTTGAATTTAATCTAGTCAGCAGCTCTGCTGAGCAAAGTCCCTATTAAAAGCCTCCCCATTCATTCAGTAACATTCTTTAAAGTTATATATGAAGCGTACAAGAGAAATGTTACAAACCCCACACACAACCAAGATGAAACTTTAAAAGCTGTTTCTTATGTAGCTGGCTGCACTGCATGACTTCTGAGCTCGTTGCCATCTAAACTTAAAAACATTTATATGCTATTGATGTTCAATGAAAACAGCTGGAGATGGATGAGCGAACGGTCAGATGAGAGATACCAAAATGTCAGACAGCCTACCGACTGTTGTTGCCATGAGATCCAACAGTCAACATCAGTCTGATAAGCTATCCGACAGGATGGTACAGCCATGGAGATGTCACGACGGTTGGCAACACAAGAGGACATTCAGGCGGGATTGAACGAAATACATATCCTCACACCTTGCTCCAGACCTGCCCTAACCTAGCGCAGGGGTAAACCTAACCTGAGCGAGAGCGAGATCTAACCTACTTTGTGCTCATACGCCACCTTCTGATAGCACTGGCAAAGTCACATTAATTCTCGTTACTTACCCCTCGGATAAAAATTAAAAACCCAATAGTTCAAAAATGACTAGAGTAGTAATACATGTCCAGTAGCAGTGGAATGGGTATCTACTTACTAAAGCGGGGAAAGATCCATTGTAGTATTGGTTATGTTCACGTACATTAGAACTGGCACGCACACCGATCATAACAATGTTTTAAAAATATCTGACTTTTAAAGCCTAAGTTTAAGGTTCTCTAAGGTTCTCCGCATCACTGCTGGGTTTGACATCAAATCTCTTTTCAGCTGGAATCTTTACTCTTCCCCCCTCTCCTCTCCTTCATTGCCCACGGTGCTGTGATCAGTGGCAAACATCTGAGAAGAATTTATGATAACAAATACCGCTAGCTATTTTACTTGCCTATTTTAACCAGTGAGCCATGCTTCAAGCAAGTGATATGCTTTCTAATTCCTTCTGCTAAGTAAGAAGTTCTTAAGAAAAAAGAAAAAAAAAAGAAAAAAGAACAAAGGGCTTCAGCACCATTGGTGCAGGAAGGATGAGTAAAGCATGCGATTCACGGGATTAAGGCTTAATAAAGTAACCAAAGAAACTGAGCATACAAAAGTGGAGAGGAAAAGAAACAGCTTAAAAAGACTGACACAAATTCTGGAATGATCAAAGATGACTTTATAAATTTTTATCTTAACTTCATTCTAAATATACAGAATAAAAAATGTCAGCTTCAGCATTTGGACATCAATCGTCTCTGCTAACATTGTGACGTTTAAGAGGGTGGCTTTTCCAACCGAGAGCACGTGCAATGCGATGGGACACCGGAGAATTCAGATGGAATAGCCTTACCATGAGGGACATGCAACGGTTTGTATCTGATCTGTATTCATTTATATACATTTTGATGGTCTTGAAAGTTATGGAAAAAGCAAAACAGCCACCCTTCAAAAGAAAAAGTTACCCTTAGGTCAGTCTGAAGTTAAATCAGGAAGTGGAGAGTATTAAATCAGCAGTTTTGGAAGTAATTTGGATGGACAACATTCGTGTTAAACTCCATTTAACGTCACATTGTCCATCCCATACAATACAACTCGGACATGTAAAAACATTTATACCTTACCTTAACATTTATAAGTTTGTCAATGAAACGTCTGCTCTAATATCCAAATTACTTTCAAAATTAAATAAAAATTTGTTCTAGTTGAAAATTGATGTTAAAAAGTTTTCCCCCATTCTGAATAATGCTGATTTTTAAACATGGAAAGATGTGTCATTTTTCATGTCTGCTAAAACCCATCCCAAGGGTTTTTGGTTTTTTTTTTCCCAAGCTCATTTGGTTTTTTCTTCCGAGTACATCTTCTGTTGCAGTCGTTTGGCATAGCTCTGGGCCATGGAGTTGATTATAGATAAGATAAAATAACAAACCATGACAATCACCAATTTTTCAAACATCCACGATAGCCAGTTTTCCCCCTGAAGAGACAAAGACAAAACAGAAGAAGGAGGAAAATGAAGATTAGTGGACAGCACAATGGAGCAGTCTCCATTTTCTGGGTGAAAGGGAAAAGCCTAGCCATTTGTTATTTACTAGGTAATTTATCAAATTAAAACCAGGAACCAAGTGCAAGCTGACGGGATTCCTGCAGGTCTCCCTGTAAGGCTGACTTTAGTCCCTTGAAAAACAAGGCAGGAGGGCCTGCCAGGTACACTGCAGGGCAGAGGATGAATCCCTGATCGTTCCTAGCGTGCTAGCGAAGCGATTTATTATCCCTAGTCTTGTTTCCTCTTTGCTAACAATTCGGCGAGTTCAGAATTAGCAACCCCTGACTGCCATTCCCTGTCACGTTCATTGCAAAGAAAACAACAAGGTCGTCGGTTAACAAAAGTTTTTTTCCTAAACTGCACAGACTGCGTTAGCTTCCAACTTGTATCCGATTCTCCCGGTGTCACCAGAAGTTAGCGCGATGACCTCGGCAGTCCCACTTCGAGCGTTTTCCACGGCTACTCTTAACTTGTGGGGTTTTGTCAAAGGAGGGCAGCAACGCACTGCACAAAAATGACTTCAATGTGCATAAAAGGAATCTGCCTATGTAGTTATTCCAGCCTGACCCTCCCTAATT